ATGCATCTTCAATCTGCTAACAAGCTAGTTTTTCCTAAAACATCCCTTTTTATCCTGTCATTCCCCTGTTCAGGGACCAACACTAGCTCCCCACTGCTGGCCTCCTAAAATCTGAATCTCCTATAGGTGGCACTCAAGGTGCCCCTCCCCTGGGCAATCTCCAGTCCAACTACCCAGGCCTCTCCCATCTCTACCCAGAACTCCAAGCTTGCCATCCCTGCTGCAACCACTCAGCAAGCCCCTACCTTTGCCTCTCTAAATCCACCTGTCCCTCAAACCCCAGCCCCAGCTCCCCTGGGTTCCTCCACAGTTCCACAGAGAAAGTTCCACCCAGCCCTGTCCTTAATTGGATGGTGTCCTGAATTACTCACCCTGCACTGCAGGTACTGACTACCCCTCAAAGGAGACTTTCACAGACACTGGCCAACTGACCATCACTATCTCCAGCTTCTCGTCTAACAGTGGGAGAGGGGCAGAATGCAGACAGGTAGTTCCAGCCCTCTGTGTTGCCCACAGCCTGGACAGTGGGTGATAACCCTGGACTGACACTTTCTCCCTACCCTGCCCACCTCCAGCAGCAACCAAGTAAGAGCCAGTTTGCAGGCTGCTAATTTAGAGTGACTCATGTCTTTAGGGATGCTCTCAGAGCTCCCCGTCCCCACAGTCCAGGTCCCACATGCTGCATTCAGATCCAAACTCTGGCTTCAAACCTAATTGCCTTCCTGGGGGACCCAACAGCTCTTCCTCACTCAGGTCTCTGCAATCTGCATGTCCAGTTTTTAAACAAAGCTGTTTAGAATCTCCCAGGAATAAGACAAGTGGAAAATTGCACTCCCAGACTTTCTACCTCACTTTCCCTAAAACAAAACACATCATTCTGCATGTTCACACACCCCTAAACACACACCCCTATTCAAACCCAGCCTGTCACCCTGCCCCTCTGAGCCCTTTTATAGGCTTTGGCCCAAGTTGGGGCTGAGGGCTTGCTGAGGCAGGGTGTGCTCCTTCTGTCCCTGGCACGACCACCTCTAGGGCTTCTTGGAGAGTGTCAGGCCTCTAAGTCTCAATCTCCACACTGTGGCAGGTGGCCAAGTGAGAGGGCTTAGACAGGGCTACCAGGTACTGTGTTTGAGTTTTACACTCCCTCTAAGGAGGGGGCATTCATGTCTCAGATATGTAATAACCTACTCAAAGTGCTCAGGTGGGCCTCTCAGCTGAGTCCCGGAACAATGCAGGAAAACTCCCTCCCACACAAACCCATGGAGGCACACCTAGCCATGCACATACCAGGGCAAGTATACACGCTTTCTTTCTTTCTCTCTCTCTCTCTCACACACACACACACACACACACACACACACGCATGGCCACACTCTGCTCCAACCTTGCTCTAAGCATCCCAAGATCACTTTCCTTGCCTGTCCACTATTCCCAGACGCCATTCCCACCCCCAGACCTTCTCCCACACGGTGAACCTGACATAGATACTTCCCTCACTGGGAACAGGAGAGCGGTGTGAGCCCAGGTATAGACAAACAAGCCAGGGTTCCTGCCCGCCAGGGTTCTAGAAGGCTATCCTATGCAGAGTTGGACGTTGTTCAGGTTTTACAATAATATCGTATATTCAGTTTAATTTTTCTTTTTAACCTAAGAAAGGGACATTTTTCAAATTTACTCTAAGGTGCTATGAGAATTAGCAGCAGCCCTAAGCCGCTAAGGCCAAGGTGCAAAACTCACCAAAGATCCTGAACCATAGGCCATGAGGTCCCTGGTCAGTGGCCATGAGGCCACTGCAGCCTTCCTGCAGTGACAGCCATGCCTCCTCAATTAATGGGAGATTTCCAGAGGATCCCATGAGGTGCCTGACTCTTCAGACCCTGGACTATTCTCCATCCCCATCCTTTTCTGTTCCCACCATAAGGTCAGATTTCTAACAAATGTTGACCACTGAGCATAAAAATGGTCACAAGACTCTCAAAAAGTAAGCAAGTATTCAAAGTACAATTAATTTCCAGCCACTGTAAGGGGAGAGGGGAGGAAGACAGGGGGAGGGAGGGATGTGGTAAGCTCAAACGCACAGAAAATAACAAACAATGGATAATCAAAAAGTAATCTGGCCTGGCCGGTGTGGCTCAGCAGTTGAGCATCGGCCTATGATCCAGGAGGTCTGGTTCAATTCTCAGTCAGGGCACATGCCCAGGTTGCGGGCTCAATCCCTTGCGGGGGGCGAGCAGGAGGCAGCCAATCAATGGCACTCTCATCATTGATGTTTCTATCTATCTCTCTCTCCCTCTCCCTTCCTCTCTCTGAAATCAATAAAATACTTAAAAAAAAAAGCAATCTGCAGCCCTAGCTGGTTTGGCTCAGTGGTTAGAGCGTCGGCCCACAGACTGAAGGGTTCTGGGTTCGATTCCAGCCAATAGCACATACCTCAGTTGCAGACCCAGTCAGGGTGCGTGCAAGAGGCAACTAATAGATGTGTCTCTTTCACAGGGATGTTTCTCTCTCTCTCCCCCTCTTCCACTCTCTGAAAAACAACAGAAAAAATATCCTCAAATGAGGATTAAAAAAAAAAAAAGTAATCTGCATTTGACTCTTGAATGTAGACAGAAGCACACACACTGGGACACTGAAAGCCTGCGGAAGTGCTCCTTCTGGCTCCACCCACTTCTCAAGAGCCCCAGACCAGTTCAGCTAAGTTTTTGGTTGTGCTTATGATCTGAAAGGAGGGAAAGGGTTTGGAAGCTGGACTTCACCCAGGCAGATACTCATGTTTCATTATGCTGTGGCTATAAGTGAAGTTGAAATGACTAACTTGTTGGGCTGGACTCCAGCAATGGAGCCTTCTAACTCCTAAATGCATCAGGCTGGGGCTGAAAGTAGCAGCAGAGCTGTGAGCACAGGATGGAAGTCAAGCAGCAAGACCCTGCCATTAATCAGGCAGGCTACCATCTCTGTAAACAGCCTTCACCCCCATCCAGCTTCTATCAGAAATCAGGGCCTTTGGTTTACTCATTAACTTTATTCTTTCCTCCTCCATCCACCTCTAGGCCAGGGCCAGAGAGTACACAGTAAGAGGAAGAGGTATCTGGGAAGCCCCAGGATTAGAAGCCAAAACTCAGACATATACCTTTGTCCCACCTCAGATACCACTTTTATCAGAGCTGGAAAGAACCATAGTAATCGATGACCCAGCCTCCCCTTCTATAGGTAGAAGACAACCAGAAGAAAGCAAGTAATTTGCCAAAGGTCACCTAGCCTGTTAGAGGCAGAGGCAGGAGCCAGGATCATCATTCCAGAGGTTCAGCAGCGTGACAGCTGAACCAAAGCCCTCTGAGACCAAAGCCATAGGAGAGGATACACTTCCTGTCTGGATAGTCCTCCACTCAGGTCTCCCTCACTGTGGCTTCAACACAGATGCACAGAAGGACCATCATCTGCCTAAGATGACTGGTGATGTCAGACCATGCAGCCCTCCTGGGAAGCTCCCCACCAAGTTCTGCCCCCAAGGACTAGGCCCCACAGAATCTCTGCATGGGGCAGGATGTGCTGTGAGGAGCCAGCATATGCTGAGCAGCAAGGACTCTCATCACTTAGCCTCAGTCCTTCCCTCCCCACCACCTGATTTTCACCAGGCTGATTTCCCTCGGCCCAGGCCCATGTGCCTGGCTGCCCTGCACAGTCCACTCACAGGTGGTGCCCCAAATCCCAGAGCAGTGAGAATGAAAACCGACACCCACCCAGGCCCCAGGAAGGGGGGAAGACTTAAAATGGGAGCTCCCATATTGCTGCTACAGCAGCTCAAGGCAGGCCCGCCCAGGACCTTACGGGAACAGCAGGCCAAGGTCTGCTGTAGGACGGGCAGCGTGGCAGCCAGGCTGTCTGGGTTTGAAGCCTGCAAGTCTCGGACTCACTCTCTGCCTTAGCTGCTATCTCTGTAAAATGGGGGGAAATGACAGCTCCCTCCCTGGACTCTTGTGAAAATTAAATAAGATTTAAATTAAGATTTAATACACTTTAAATAAATTAGTGTGGACATATGTAAAAAGTCTGAAACTGAGGATAGTGACAAATGTGAATATTGGCAACCTGAGTACAATGTGCAGATGATGGCAGGACAATAAAAGGTTTTGTGGCCACTCCTGGGACACCAAATAATTTCTGCTGGAACTCACAGAGAAGGGAATCTTTTGGCAGGATAAGCTACCAGCCAGCACCATCCTTCCCATGCCCACCCCCCCACCACCACCACACTGCTAGGTTCTTAGAAGGTAAAAGATTTACAAATCACCCAGCAGGGGGAAGCCACAGAATAAAACACTCAGGTATTAAAACATAAAAGACCAGGTTGCTGTCTGTAAGCAGCAACCCCAGGGAACTTGAATCAGCACCATCCACACAGGCTGCCGAAAGTAGTTTCTGCCCAGCTCTAGGTCCACAGGGACTAGATGAACAAGGCAAGACCCCAGGAGCCTGCAGGAGCAGAGAGGAGGACCTTGATGAGGGTCCTGATAGAGGGTGCCACCTGGAAGGCCAGGGGCATTCCTGTAGCAGCCAGTGCAGAGGATCAAGAGATAGGTAGCATTGGCCAGAATCCCACAGATGCTTTTCTGAATGGCTGGTGGAAAGTCCTCCACCCTAGCTCCCAAGCCTGCTGGGAGGAGACAGGAAGCAGGAAGTCACAGGCCTCTCCAGTTTCCCTAGGCTTCCTCCTTGCAATCAGGGTGGCTCTCCAAGAAAAAAATTAAGAATACTGCCAGCTACCAATCAGAAACAATGGAGAGGAGGATCTCTCTCCTGGCCCCCAAAGCCCAATTTAAGGAGTTTATCACTTCCAAGTCAAGTGCTAGGGCAGAGAGATATCTAAAAAATATCAGCATCCTATGTTATCCTCCCTCCCCAACCCACAATTAAAGGGCAAAAGAGACTTTGACTTCAAACAGTTTATAACACACAGACTTTTTAAGGCTCCACCACAATGGACCTAGGACGACACTGACCTGTTTTCTTTGAATTCCTACAAACACCTTGGCTGCTGACAGATAGAGAGATCCCAGGATATTCCTGCAGCAAAACAAAAAATTAGGTCATCACTTCTCTGTGAAGCCACTCTAGGGTGAATGCTGTCCAGCAGCTGCCACTCTTTGGGGCAGCAGTCTCCCATCAAGAATCCATTCATTCAACAGGTGAAGAAGGCCAGAAATGGCACACTGGTTCCAGCTGCTGTGCCCATTCCACTCAGCTGGTGGTGAGTGCCTAAAGCATAATGAGCAGAACCCAAGCCCTGGCTCAGCAGGAAAGACAGCCATGATCGATTAATGATGTCGGCTATGGGCAGTGATGTAAGTAGCAGTATCCATGTCACATATTTGTCATCTCTGAGGTGGACCCCTGGCATCCAAGGATTTAACATTTGTAATTTTGACCATTCACAAGTAACCCAAAGTTTCAAGATATGTAAAAGTGTGTAACTTTACTGAGACACGAGTTTGATTCACATACCCTGGGCGACAGATGTAAAGAACAGGCCACTTTGTTGCTTTCATCTCTACCACATCTAAAGTTACTCTTGTGGAGCAATAAAACTTTGGTGGAAAATGGCCATCAAATGAAAGATGAAATTATAGCAGAAGTTTAAAGGGTAGTTAACCTGGGGTGTAAAGATATACATAGGAAACACTTGGTTCTGTGGAAACATGACTCTGGAGAAAGCCAGGCCCATGTGAAAATACTGCTGTGGATGCAAATATGGGATTCTGGAAGGTGCAAGATTCTTTTATTTATTTATTTATTTATTTTTGGATGGCAAAATGGATCCACATTTTTTATTGATATATAATTGACATATAAATTATATTAGTCTCAGGTGTACAAATAATTATTTGATATTCTATATATTACAAAATGACTACCATATAAGTCTAGTCAACATTCATCAACATACATACATAGTTACAAAATTTTTCTTGTGATGAAAACTTTGAAGATCTACTCACTTAGCAACTTTCAAATATACAGTATAGCATTATGTTTTTTAAAACATTTTTTTAATTGATTTCAAAGAAAGGAAGGGAGAGGGAGAGATAGAAACATCAATGATGAGAGAGAATCATTGATCAGCTGCCTCCTGCATTCCCCCTACTGGGGATCAAGCCCCCAACCCAGGCATATGCCCTGACTAGGAATCAAACTGTGATCTCCTGGTTCAAGGGTCAATGCTCAACCACTGAGCCACACCAGCCCGGCTATAGTACAGTATTATTATAATCACCATGCCATACATTACATCCCCATGACAAGACTCATTTCTTGGAAATGTCAGGGGTCCCCACTGTGCCTACCCTGTGCCTCTCAGCAATGAATACTGGGCCAAGGAGAACAGAGGCAATTAAAATCTAAGCTCTGAAGAGGCTTACAATCTAGTTAGAGAACCTATGATACCCACTAGAACAGCAAGTGGCACTGCATCTTCGCAATGATGCTCAGAATCCATGTCAATCCCCCTTCATCCTTTCCTCACCACCCCCAGCCAACCAATTCACAAAGGATCTCAATCCTTCTTCCAAAATGTCTCAGATTCAGTCCCTCACCATTCTTCACAGCTGCCTAGCCACTCTCCCCACCATGATTTATCCTCTTAACAGATCCCAGACTCACCCACCTGAGGCCTAGCCCTGCTTCTGCAACCCCTACTCAAAAGCCTGCAAAGTTCCCAGGGCCTCCCAAGGTAGACTACTGTCTCCCTAATACCAGCTCAGTACTTGCACATGGTGGGCACTCACCTTCTCTTGAATGAATGAATGAATGAATGAATGAATGAATGAATGAATGAATGAAAGAAATTCTTTGGTTGGATATTTGAAGCCACCTACAATATGGCCATTATCTCCCTATCTAGCCTTTTCTTTCTCAGCTTCCCTGCAAACAACCCACTCACTGGCCCACTTATACTATTCAGACACCCCAACACCTTCTTAGTGCCTTTTCTCAAGCTGGTCCCTCCTCCCTTCTGTTGAAATGCAAACCACCTTTCAAAGTTTATGTCAGATACCACCTGCTACATAAAGCATTCCTCCAAAATCAGGTGATTTATCCCACTGTTTGAACCTACATAACATTCTATTCTCACAGCCCAATGACCTTATAATTTGAACTGTCATTTTTGAACCCTTTCCTTAACCCTTTACTGCATTATAAGCCTCATGAAGACAAGGACCTTTACCTTTTTCATTTTTGCATCATCAGAACTTAGCTCAGTCTCTTGTATTATGACACATATACTCGAAGTACTCGTCAAATTCACTAAAGAATCACCCCAGGCAGTATATAAAAGCCAGTAGAGATTAAGACAGAAAATGCCATAGGAGTTCCAAAGAAAAAAAGGTTCTTTTAGGATAGGTGGCCAGGGAAGGTTCAATGAAAGAGCTCAGACATTAGTAGGGTGTGGAAAGAGGGAAAGGGTAACTGGGGAAGAGCATTCCTGGAAGATGGGACAGTATGAACTAAAGAACAAAGAAGGAATGAGTGAAGCATGCTTGGGAGATCTGTCTGGCTAGAACTGAGGGTTCCTATGGGGACACCAGTGGGAGATAAGGCTAGATAGGCAGGCACTTGGATTAGATCCATTCCCTCAGTACTGTGAACAACAACCACAGCAAGCCTGGGCTTTAATGGCAGAAAAAAATAAGTCTTGTCCTCTCTTGTTCCAAGCATATTTGTCTAGTCTCCTCAGCTAGAGTATAAATAACAGCCACCATCTACTGCACACCTGCTATGTAGGAGTCCCTAAGCTTGTTGCTTCACACACATTGTCTCATTGCTCCTCCAAAGGCCTGAGAGCCTGGTGTTATCCTTACTTTGCAAGCAGGAAGCTAAAGCTACAAGAGGTGAAGGCACTTGCCCAAGGCCACACTGACTCACTCATTCACTTAACAATACCAGCCAGTGCTGGAGTTAGAGGCTCAGGAATGAGGACCAGGACATGAGCCAGCTATCCCTGGCCCAGGGGCTTCCCACTTAAACTGAGCGGCTTCTCCTTATTAATTCCTCAAGGGCAGCATTTGTTAAGCACATAGTAGGAGCTGAATAAAGCACACTAAATAGAATGGAGATTGTCAAGGGCTGGGGAGAGGGAGAAAAGAGGAGTTACTGTTTAATGGGTATACACTTCCAGTTATGCAGATGAGAAAGTTCTGGAGATCTGTTGCACAACAATGAATATACTTAATGCAATTGAACTTAAAATTTAAAAATGCTCAGTTGAGCCCAGCTGGGCGGGGCTCAGCGGTTCAGTGTCAACCTAGGATACAGGCGATTGGCATTAATTCCCAGTCAGGGCACATACCGGGGTTGTGGAATTGATCCCCAGTAGGGGACATGCAGGAGGCAGCTGATCAATGACTTTCTCACAATTGATGTTTCTACCTCTCTCTCTCCCTCTCCTTGCCTCTCTCTGAAAGATATATTTAAAATATATCTTTTAAATATAAAGATATATTTTAAAAAGAAAAATAAATAAAAAATAAAAAATGGTTGAGATGGTAAATTTTGTTATGTGGTTTTTTTACCACAATTAAAATTTTTTAAAAATAAAGCACACTTATTGTCTGGTTGGCTACTAATATAATCTTATACTGCTAATTATCTGATGCCAGAAGAGACTGTAGAAACATTTTAACCCAATAACCCTCCAAAACAGAAAGTTGTAAAGGGAAGGTAATTTGCCCAGGGCTGCACACATAGGTGGTGTTGAGGCTAAGCTCCTCAGGCTCAATAGAGAAAAATGGCAGGTGAGGGCACAGCACGATAGGAAAAGCACAGGGCTTGAGGGGTCAGAGGCCACAAGTTCAAGTTCTGCTTCTTCCATTTAATAAGTTCTGTGACCTCAGAGAAGCAATTTATTTTCTCTGAGCTTCATTTTCCCAACCTATAAGAAGGCAATTAAAAATAACATATACTTTACAAGATTATATGTGAATCAAATAAAATTATATACAGCTAATGAGCAGAGAAAGCACTTGGCCATCTATAAATTATTTTATAAACACTAGTTACTGTTATTAATATTAAATATCAGTTTGTAGATTTAAAGAAGATTAATATCTGATTAATTCAAATAAAAGAATCCCACTTGATTGTGGCTCACTCTTGGCTATTCAGAGCCTTGCATACAGCGGGTCTTCAATGAAGGAGTGCAGAGCTGAATTACTCTTCAAGTTTTATCCACCCCTATCCTCTTTCTTTCCTCGCCCCCAACCCACAGCCCAGCTGCAACAGCCATGCCAGAACCAGGCAGAGGGTAGGAAGTTGGTGTAAATGTCTGTCTCACTGGCTGCATTCCTTAGCTAAATATAAGTGATTTGTACAATCCATTATTTGAAATTATCCATAATACCTCTCCTCCCCTCTATTACTTATGATGACAAGCTGACTGCACATCTTTATAGCAGAACTACATACAAAACATTCTCTATGACTATTTTTAGTAGGGAGAGGAAAGCTGGCTGGTATACAGGGATCAGGGCAGGAGTCCTCAGTTTTCTCCACTAGTCCAGGAAAGCTTCCTGGAGGAGGAAATACCTGAGTCAGAGAAGGGGACAGCTGCAGGTCAGAAGGGCACCCTTACATAATGAGTTTAGTTCTCTGAACCAAAGGGAGGTGAACAACTGCCTTCTTATTCCCGTTTTAGGGATGGGAGAGGAAAGGTCCACACAGCCCAGGGGATCCCACACTATCCCAATGCTTCAAATTTCCCCAGACATTACAGGCATCTAGAGAAGAGGTAGAGAAGAGACCAATATCTTGCAAAAAAAGGCGATCCAAGACTCCTGTTTCGAGATACACAAGCACAAATACTGCTCTCATAGCAAGCCAGTTTCTTCTTTAGACTTTTTTTTAACCACAAGAAAGTTTCTTAAAGTCCCAAACCTGGAGGCACAGATGGACTATATCTCGTACTTCGAGGTGTGCCAAAGCTCTGTCACTCTGAGTGCCGATCAGCCAGCGGTGGCCCAAGGAATGGTCAGGGTGCGGGGGGGCGGGGGCCTGAAGGCGGTATCCCACTCCTGGCCGAGCCCCCGGCCCTCCCTGGGGGCGCTGTATGGACCACCCCAAAGCCACTGGGATCTACTGGGACACACAGTCGGAAACCCATGACAGCTCCCAGGCTCTACCCTTCTGTCTTTCTGTGGCACCCCACAGACTTCCTCCCATCCCTCCGCCTGGGATCCCGCGGTTCACCCTCCCGCGGCTCCCCTCCCAAAAGGTCCTCCGAGCCTCTCCGTGCAGATTCCTCTTCGCCCCATTCCCGGGCCCCGCACACACCTTCCCCTTCCTGGGCCGCGTCCCGGCCCGCACAGGGCGCCT